ACCTTCGAAGGGGCCGCCGATGGATCCACATAATATGACGTTAGGAACTGAAAAACATACTTTCCCGGAAAAAGCTCACGATTTTCCGGAAAAAGCTCTTGATTTCCCGGAAAAAAAACTTTTCCGGAAAAAGCTCATGATTTTCCGGGAAGTTGATATTTGTCACAAGTTGTGACCAACATCAACTTAATGACGATAACACGAATCCAAATTCCACATGTTCACCCTATTACCAACAAATGAGTAAACTTATAATACTTCTTCTCCTCAACTGGGCAATGCGCCTCTTCCGATAAGCTCCACGCGACGTCATCTTTGAGGACTCTGTGAATACCCGGGACCAGCTCAGAGGGAAGGTTGATCATTCTGATGAAAGCCATCTAACTATAACATTATCATCCTACAAGACCCACCTCTCATCGATCATTATGCCACAGCTAATTCCACCAGTAGCTGATACCATCTTTCCCTGAAATATCCCCAAATTCCACGATAGAGCACCATGAAATGCCCATCCTTACAAAGGCTTCCTTGACTTCATCAGAATCCGCATGCTTATCGACCTGTTGCCTTAAGTGCTCTACTAGTTGTTGCATACCCTTAATCTCCTTCGAGTACTGTGCCTGAGAACGAGTTCCCTGATACACGCGTAATTTTTTCCACAATTTCCGAGAAAATTCATAATATTTTTACCGTTTCCTAATAAATTTTGGGATGTGAATTTTTCACGCACCGTTATATACGATTAACGCGTAAGAATATGACCGTTTCACTCAAGTACATAAAAGCCCATGAGTATACCATTTTGAAGTGTCACCCTGCAAAACTATTTAGCCTAAAAAACATAAAAAATGAAGTTTTACGAAAATACGTCCGCCTGAGAAACTCCGGGTATTTCATGGAGTTTCACCCGTTTTACGTGAAGTGGCGTAAGACTCTGTGAAAAACGCGATATTCGCGATGATATGCAGTAGTCGTGAAATATGTTTTTCATATCACTAGGGTGGTAAAACTCCAATAAACTTCTCCTGCGTCTCGATTTCGAAATTCACATCAATGAAATCCAATTCTGGCTCAGAATTTCTGGGAGTGGTCCTAAAGCTCAGAAAAAGTCTAGTGAACAGACCTTCTACTCCGTGAAATACTGAATTTTCGATTTTGCCCCCCAAAAAAATAAATACCTTCCTTATACAACAGCGAACAACATCATCCTCCTTACCGGGTTCAGGATAGTCGCCACCGCACAGAAGGCATCATCGTTATCGCCATCTTTTGCTTTATTCTCATCACCCGACTTGATAATCGTACCAATGTTTTGTTGATCTGAAATTCATGATATTTTTCCTCGAACATTCCGAAAAACCCCAACACCTTCACTTTAAATTTCTACTATAAGCCTATCATCCTGAACTCTACTAGGGATCCGTGGCGAAGTGACGGCGATCGCTAGCCCATCGCTGAGAACTCGTCTTTTCCACTCTAATTCATCTCACTCTATTCCTAGACTACTAAATCACCGTAGACATTGCACAATGCACGCACGCACAACGCTTAATGGCATTCATACAGTATATGTTCCGCTCGCTCCGAAATTCTCACAAATTTCCTGAATCTGCAAACGGTGTGGGAAAATATGCACATGGTCAACTAAGGAGTGTATTCATTCTTAGACAAATTCAAAAAATTTGCGTCAACAAATGAGAGTTTCGAGCAGAAAAATTACGTGTGTTGGTGACAATACGAAAATTCTAAGAAAAATCTCCGGAAATTCTTGTTGTTATTCGTATATAATTTCAAATTGTATTGAGCGAATGTCTGACCTCAGCTGAAGAAAGTAATCATATTTTCCAACACTTGAGTTTCACCCGTGATATGAAAAACACTAGTGAAAAAAACATATTTCACGACCACGGCATAGCGCGAATATCGCCGTTTTCACCGAGATTTACCACACTTCACGTAAAACGGGTAAAACTCCACTGTTTTCAAGCACAGCGTGACTCACCAACAATGCATTGAGCCAAACTGCCAACATCATACTCCTTGCCATCCAGCAGCCTAGTTATCATCATCCTCACACCATGGTAGTCGTCATCAGTCATATCTTCAAAACGGAACGCAGCCTCAAAGACGTCTTCCGAAGCCTAACACCAGAAAAAATAAAAATAATAAACCCTAGTGAAAAACATATTTTACGACTACTGCGCAGAGGAACGTTCCCGAGAGGAACTTAAATTTTGAGCTCTCCACGTGGATCTCAAATTTTTCGAAGAGTTTACCACGTGAATCTCATCACATTAAGAACATTGCTATCAAACCCTGAGGAGCGCTATTTCTCAGAGCTGAATAGATCCCTGCTACTGCATCTCTCTCTCGCTCTCAACAGGTGATGGCAAGTTGGCTTGTTTATAAGCTCGACGTACTCAGCACAAGGAGACCAGCATTTGACTGAGTTTTTCCCCGGTACTGCATATCACCGCAAATATCGCGTTTTTCACTCCCTTTCACGTAAAACGGATGAAACTCCATTAACTAAAATCCGATAACCCATTAAAATATGATAAATATAACGATTATACGACTTCAATAATATTATACAAAAATTAAGTGATAAAGTTTCACCCGTTTTACGTGAAGTGGCGTAATACTCTGTGAAAAACGCAGTGATTCGTGAAATGCGTTTTTCATATCACGGGTGAAACTCCAATAAAATAAACATTGGTAAAAATATAAAACTTCGTACGTACTCCATTACATATCCGCCGTAGTATAAGACCACCGAGAACCCTTCTTACTGCTTCTATCTGTTCACCATCACTGACAGAACTACCACTACTGCTATCCATTGACGACGACGAGGCCGATTCCTTTCGAGTTCGGGCAGCCGAATTGGCGTGACCGCGCTTCTTGTTCACTGCCATTACCAGAGACTGCAGGTTCAATCCTACCACCCTGCATTTTTACCACCGATTATTCCAAAACACTCAACAAAACAACAAGTTTCCACTGAAAACGTCACCTCCGTCTCCTCTCCCTACTCCTCGATCTCCTCCGTCTACCAGGACCTACATGTAAACAACTAGCATGCACAGACCATACGAGAATATATACACAGCGTCACCTACATGTGTTGGTGATAATATGAAAATTCCGAGGAAGTTTTGGAAATTACGCACGCACGCACAACACGAAAGTGCCTGTTGTTGCGGTATATGCTCAGCTCGCTTCGCAATAAACACATCTTCCAACACTGGGCACAGCTGTAAAACCCAGATGAAAAAATATACTCAAACGATTAGTAATTATTCGATCACACCCTTTTCCTGGCCGAGAAATGGCTGAGTTACCGAGCCTATACAACATCACTAAACCCCCTTCACACGTACTTCGTGACCGTCTATAGTATCGTCGGTGACCATCATCCCTACGACCACCACCACGACTCCGGGATCTGTGTCTTCGTCGGCTGGGCTCCCTTCTATCGAACTCTCGCTCTCTCGAGGCCCCTGAGAATTTGTACCATAATTCTCCCCAAAATTGAAGAATGCTACAGTTCGTCAGTTCAGATCAACTCATAAAGGCTGCACACAGAAGATGTAAATTTAACAATTTTTCTATCAAAAGTTTTCCTCCAGGGCTACCCTTGAGTGGTAATTCTCATACCGTATCGATCGCCTAATAATAATACCTCCATCACGACGGCGATCTTCATCATCATCATTTTCATGCTTCACTGCCCTCCTTGAAACCGAGCGCTCCGATTTCTCCCCCTCAGATTTGGAGGATTTCTCCTTTTTATGTCGGCGTTTCTCCTCTTTTTTACTCCTAATGTTACACAGTAAAGTTTCACCCGTTGTAAACGAATTGGTGTAAAACGCGATATTTACGCTATGCAGTGAAATGTGTTTCTCGCTAGTGTTTTCCATATCACGAGTGAAAATCCAGTGGTAAAAATCATACACACGGTAACAAGAAAATTCCTATCAGAATCGTTGCTTTTCGTACCACAGCTGGAATCTATACTCACCTTCCTCAGCTGAGCTCGGAGAATTCTCACCAACTATAGAAAAGTACAGTCGACTTGAACTAAAAATGTACGGAAACCAACACCACACCAATTTCCCACAATGTGTTCAACTAAGGTAACCGTACATACCACTGATTATGAAACCCTATCGCTCTGGTATTACCTCTTCGTGAGTTCGGGGTCTTCGATCATCCACTTCTTATCTCGTATAGCCGTCACTCGAGCTCTATACACTACAGGTGATCCCCTCCACACGTGTATTTGCTTTTACCTATTTTCCCCCAATTTATCCAACATTTTCTGCGACTCCGTTACCCCTACCACACCACGGCCTTTTCCTTCAGCACCAGTAGCCTTATAGTCCACATATCTACAATGAGAATCCACATAACATTCACATAAACTACTTACATAGGATTGCCCTCAGCATCCGTACGCCCCTCAGGGTCTTCAACAATAGGCGCTCTATAGGACTGAACATGAGCCAATCGAAGACACCATCTGTGTTTAGAGACCTTCTTACGTTAACATGATCAACCTTCAGGGGTCGTCCTACTAGATTGAAACCGATCATATTATCGATAGCATACCGCGTACTCTGAAACACCAATCCTGTTATGTAAATGACCCTGACTTCATTTCTACTACTACTACTACTACTACTGCTGCTGATACTACCCGTTGATCCTCATACGCCAAAAATCCGAATCCTTTGCTTTTCCCAGTCTCCTTATCTCTCACCTACGCAGAAAAATGACAGGAAAATCGTAGGAGAAAATTATCCTACGAGATTCACATCAAGAATTTCTCCAAATTGGCTGAACACAGTGATGAGATCTCCCTCTGTTAAACCTCGGTCCAGATTACCAATGTAGAGATAAGCTGAATCGTGGTATCTATGAAAAGCTTTCTACTACTACTATGGCGGGTAGAACTGGGTACATTACTTCTCATGCCAAGATGCATGCTCGGGTGTCTGGTCCTTCAACTCGCGCTCTGAGAGCTGTCTGATTCGGTCTATCTCGGCATTGATACCGCGGATACTCATGGAGTAATGTAGTGTATAACAACTAAAAGCCAGATGACAAAAAATACGGGAGAATCGCCGGTGCCGGGAATCGAACCGGGATGACCCCGGCGGGGTCACGTGTGTGAGCAGTTCGGATTCTCGCTCGCCCATTAATCATCTGCTCAGTAACGGCAAGATACACTCCAGTAGTTGCTACGATGAACAAAACTAAGGTTCGGTAACTATTCGCTCTACGTCTACCGGATTGAGTCTGATGGATTCGGGGAATCGTCGAGCTCAACGATCTTGCGTCGGTCTTGGTGTGGAGCGCTTTGCTCACTCTTTACACGTGTCAGTACACATTCAAAATTGTGTATAATGCACATACACCCCTCCACACATTCTTAGCATATCCGGTTTTTCGACTCATGCACAGCCACCACAACGAGTATCGTCTTGCGGCTCAGGGAGGTATGTACTTATGTTTTACACTCTGAATGTGTAAAACATGGTGGATGCGACCGGGTTCTCCAGCCAAAACTGAGCAGGGCAGCTGATGAGCACAAAAGCGCGCCGAAACAAGGTGTAAAACCCGCCATGCAGGGAGCCGTCGGAGGTGAAGACGCACTAGCAGGCTTGTGCCTCCAAATATCAGAGTGAAACATGGAGGGATACCATTATGAACGATTCTCTTTCTGTTGATGTATAGCATTAGATCAGCAGCGGAGTTATAGATATACTTCCCCAGTAAAAGTTGATATTTTGAGGCGTAAGTTTAACACGTGTATGCTAAGAATAAGTGGAGAGAACTTTTTACCAGTCTTCGACTTCTCACTTACTACGAAGAGTTATGCCTTGAAACTTGGAGGTCATATCAGGTAAAACATAAGTACATACCTCCCTGAGCCGCAAGACGATACTCGTTGTGGTGGCTGTGCATGAGTCGAAAAGTCGGATATGCTAAGAATGTGTGGAGGGGTGTACGTACACATGTACCTTACCAGACTGGTTTAACCAGTGCTTTTAAAGCACTGGTTAAACCGAAGTCGAGCTTTACAGCAAAAAGGTTAAAGCACTGCTTTACAGTGCGTTACATTTAACACGAGAAAATGCTCTAATTGGCCCTGTCCATAGCACAGTTTCCTTTCCGAGGCCACACTCGTAAGGTTTTCCATTACTGGATCAGCTCCATAGGCTGATAAACAGCAGTATTCCAAGCCGTACAGTTCTAACTCGGCACTTTTCAAGTCGGGCGCCTTTTTTCATACAACTCTCGGCTCAGACACCATGATTCGGGCAATATACTCCCGGACACTTAGGCTAGTTTGCGCATTTTTTTGCGCGCGGCAAATTTTTCTTCATGGGGCACAAATCTTTCTTCAGGGTCACAATGTTCAAGTCAAGCTGAGCTAGAATGACGACTTGAAGGATTGTGTTAACGTAGCATAGCTAAGCTTGATAGACTGTAGTTGACGCTAGTCTTTATTCGATATTAGTTCCTAACGTGATAACGTGTAAAGTGATGATATGATTATGATCTCATAGTAACGTGATGATAATTTTGCTGGGTTGTTTTCTTATTTCTTCTATTTGATCGATGATAAAATCTACCATACTCGTATAACTGCATTGAGTTCGAGTACAACGAAGTTTTTCCGGGCGGGCATAAAGTATCCTCTGTATCCGGGTCCCATTGCCAACTTGCCAGGGCCAAAGATAACTAATAATCCGTTTCTCTCCCATGTTGGACTTAGTCAGAGCTCGGGGTTTTATCCGGGTAATGACTGTAATGCAAGTGCACCTAAACTACGGGTTCCCCGAAAAAAGAAGGAACTACAGGTGAAAGCGAAAAAAGGGAAACTCGGAACCCGACGGAACACCCGAAACCCGAACTCTTATCGAGGTTTAAGATGTTACTCATATGAACCAGAAACCCGAAAGAGCAGCCGTACGAATTTTGGGCGTGTGGGAGTTTGTGCCAGGGAAAGAAAAAATGTGCCGGAGAGGAAAAATTTAGTGCCTGGAAAAATGGTATGTAGTTTTCTCGGACAATTCTAAGGTTGTGCAATGTAACAGGAAACTCTCTTGCACTTTAATTTCATACAGTGCAGACCCATACAGTTCATGATCATCCACCCGATGTTTTCACTATTGTTTCGCAAACCGTTCGTGACTCGCGAATCGCGAGACATTGTCTCGGAGACAATAGTGAAAAAAACGCACGCGATCAGCGGGCGTCATTGAAGACGTGCCTAAGGTAGGTAACCTCTGAACTGCCAATCTCACACTTTTCGAGTACTCGATGTATTCAAGTGACTCGAATGTACGGCAGGTGCCCTAACACCATATCCATTAATCTTTGGAAGGTGGCCGAGGCCGACGTGAGACCGAACGGCATACGACACCATTCATACAGCGGAAACCCTGGCCCGGGACAGAAGGTTGTCTTATGCGACACCATTCATACAGCGGAAACCCTGGCCCGGGACAGAAGGTTGTCTTATGCTGGCCGTCGGGCCTCACCCGAAGTTGCCAATATCCACTCCGCAAGTCTAGGGTAGAGAACATTCTGGCATGAAAATGTGCTCCTGCACGTCGTCAGGCCTCGGTACCGGATACGCCTCTGCGTAATAGGCCTGGTTTAACTTGCGGTAGACCACACACATGCGAACCTTCCCGTAACGGGAATCCCGTTCTTTTTAGGCACATAAACACAGGGCTGCCTTCCCGCCAGTTATGGGGTACGGCCGGACTCGTTCCACCACTTGGGTGTCGTCAATGACGACTCGTCATGGTATTCACTCGATGCTGCACCTTATCGCACTTTCCGGGCCAAAGAGAAAATAGCTAACCAAACTTCTCGCAGAGCCTCTCGAAGGGCCTCAGCTCAGGCGTTTCTTTGTCAACCTCAGGGAGCTGTCTCTACTCGGAATGGAAGTCTGGGCCCCAGACACCCCAGACTCTGGGGTGGCAAAACACAGTGCTCCCACAATATCGTCGTCATCGAGCTCGTTCATATCACATCCCGGAGGAGGCCACTTGTCCGGTGCGGTAAGAATAGCACTCTTCGGCAGCTGTGTTGGGGCAAACGACCGAATCTATCTCCTACCAGGGACCTTCATCCCTTGCTACGCCAACTTTTCATCGGTGGGGGGCTGTACTTGAGGTTGAGCAGCCATACATAGATGGATCGGACAGGGTCATTCAAATACGTCTCACTACAGAATTATCTCAAGGATATAACCTCGAAGTATTACAGATACACTCAAGTAGTAAGTAGAGCGCGTCACTAGGGCTTATACCAACGTTACGTTGGCAACGTATACTCTTGCCTCAACGCACAAAGGTGTCAGTTGTAAATCTCGCTCACCTGAAACGGTTAGACTCATGCGACCATTGTGAATCCCGCTCGCTCTCCTCCGTTCGGCCATCGCCAGCTACCTTTTAGTTGTTGTCCGCCTGTGCGGCCCTGCCTGTGCGGAATAGACAGTATAAGACGGGCTCGAGAGCCATATCCGTAGCTAACGTGTGCATGCGTCAAAGGATCGATTGCATTCAGAGTCTTTCGAAGGGATTCTTTTGAGCATTACTGTTGGGCCAACTGTAGTGCCAGGCACCCCTGCCAACCATGTCGACCGCAGCTAAGTATTGTCTTACATCTGTAACCTTTGGGATTGTGTTGCCAAAGCCATTAGCATCAACTACCTATCGTATCGATCGACGACCCGATCACGACTTCGAATTAATCCGTCCACAAACCTGTTTATGTAGCGTGTTCGGTCGTGAGGCCGTGACATGTCACGCTATAGAATACGTGAACTTCACGCATCTTCAAGATGCGTTCAACGTGAGCGTGCAACATAGCGCATCTGGAATGTAGACTCTAGCAGTACGGGAACTTTTATGAGTTGCGTCGATGAATTCGTCGGAATTTCCCCATATTCGGGCGGAAGCTGGAATGAGCTTCCAGACCCTTTCACGAGTTCTGAAATTTTGGCCAAATTATTGACCGAAATGTCTTCCATCCAACTACTCGCCTTGATTTGTGTGTTTGACGTCCTGAAGGTCTCCCGAGGAAAAACTCTGAAGCTCGATGTGAAGTACAAACATATGCCTGGATATGCCTTTGGATTGTTTCATACTCTGATCGACGAGAATGGCCAGGAGCTACATGCTCTCGTTGACACTGGATCGGATTGTTTTTACCTCGTCTGGAAGGATTGGTACGAGAAAGCCAGTGGGAACCGCTGCAGTGATTTCCCCATAGGGTGTTATAGATGTTCGACGCCTTGCTCAGTGGGTGACGTGACGAGAACTGTTACTTTCGCAGACGGAGACGTGATGAAGATGTTTCCGCATAGAGCGAAACTAACGATAGGTCAGGTATCGCAGATCCTCACTTTCGGTCTGATATTCGACCAGTCTTCTCCCGATGGAATTTCTCCGATCAATATGATAGGTCTTGGCTATAATCGAGGTCATGTGGACTTCCCGTCTTTGGTGACGCAGTTGCGATCATCACAAACTATAACGACCGGTATCTTTGCTCTCTACCTGTATGCTCCCGCTGATCCCATGCAGGTATCCACTGATGGAGGTCTCCTCCTGGGTGGAGACGAACCTGCATTATATGAGGGTGCACTGCAATATGTCGAGTTTTCTATGGACAAAGAATACACGGTAAACATTGACAAGCTACAAGTCGGTGATGGACCTATAACTCTTGGTATCAATATGAACCTAAACCTCGACACCGGCTTGAACTTTCTACTTGTCCCGAAGTTATACTATGACAATCTCATCAAGGACATTATAGCTCAAACTGGTAAGGCTGTGGGTACAGATGTCGACTTCAAGCGTAGTCCAGGAGAAAAGTTATGGTACTTCCCTTGCCAGTACATGACCAAATTGCCAATGCTGCACTTTGACTTAGGCCCTCAGGGCATAACTCCATTCGAGATGACATACATGAACTATGCCAGGAGGTCGTCATATGGTACCTGCCTTCTCACTATCCGGGATTACGACATGGATGCTTGGGTTTTCCCGGATCGGATGCTGATCGGTAACTATTTCAAGTTCGACCCTGATCTGAGGCGTGTCGGAATCGGCAAGTTGAAACCGCGCTTTTCGTGAACAATTCTCTCTTTTTGTGGTCTTCTTTTGAGTTAACGGTCTACATCAGAATACCATCCATTATCGTTGATCATTTTATGACCGCTCGAGAAAACCCTCTAGCTCGTAGAACGATTCTACACATACTATGTCGAAGAATTCAATTTGGCGAATCATATGTTTTCTCGAGAAATCATTATCTGGCGAATGGGCCCCGTTACGGCCGTTGATTATGAATCATAATTCATGATTTTACTCGTACAATGTCAGCACTAATCAATGATCAGCACTATTGAGGATGATCGCTCACGGAGATTGCTCTGTGGCCTTGTTGTGCGGGACAAAATAATTCTGTCTCTTTCGGTACTCAGTGTACCTGCGTGCAACGATGATGGGCACGCGTGCTTCTGCTCGGGCCGAGCTATGGCCATCTCTAATATTAGATAGATTCGATTACTCCACAACTCAAGTTAGCCTTTACTTGGGACCTCAATGGCAATGAGTTCAGTCCGTGGCGGCAAAACTACAATACACATGTAAAGAAATCTTGAGTTCACACGAGTCACTCGTGACGAGTGCATTATATTGGCGAACAAAGAATTAAATTTAGCCGCTAAACTTCAGCGATGAGCCCCAAATAGCAATTCCAACTTCCTTGACTTTGATCACGGAAAGACCCCCAATTTCATTATGAGGGAAGTCGATCCCATCGAGTTGATGTCATCCCGCTCGGTAATTAATTTCGTTCTCGAGAGTCTTGTAAGCCTCAGAATCCTGGGACGGAGCCCACGTAAGTGCAAATGCCGAGAGCGTACATTGTTTCCGATGCATCGCGGCTAAGACAAGTGAACCGATAGCTGAGTTGCCGATAGCCTCAGTGGGGCGTAAAGTGGAATAGGTCTTTTTTCCGAATTGGCAGGGCAACTGTTGTTCACATGTCCGACTCAGAGCCTGATGCCTCTAAGTCACTGAAGGTAATGTAACCTCCGCCATTTCCTCTACAACGCGCCACGGTTTTCTCAATCGAGCTTAACGTTGATCAGCGAACAGAGAGAAAGGCCTCTCGGCAACGTCATGCATATCGCGTAAAACGCGTAATACTCTCGCGGTTCACACATCACATGTATAAAATTTCACGTGTTTCAAGCGTTATTCACTGCTCACATGTGATTTTTTGCGAAGTGATTCGTGAAATATGTTTTGACTAGTGTTTTCCATATCACGGTTGAGATTCAAACATGTACGATCGCTGAGGTTAATAAGTTCACGAACAACTCAAATGCAAATACGACTAACTTCAATCAGGATTCACAACAGAGCAAAATTTAACTGTCAAAGAAACACACGCCAAACGTCTCGAAATTCCTCGCCGAGACATTCAAGAAGCTCCGTCAGCAGATCCAGTCAAGGGATGCCGACGTAATGGCTACATACAGCATCGACATCACCCATAGTTGATTATTCTGAGCTGCTCCAATGTAGCTATACCTATGAGTTGTCATATCGGCTACCCACAATAGAGTGAGCTCATGCACTAGTATACCTCCATTCGCTGCAAGATACTGTTGTATCGTGCCCAGATGGGACTCCCATCATGGGAGAGCTCTTCAGCGCAATCGAAATGTGTACTTGTACAATCAATTCCATGCCAACTCTAAAAGCCTCAACTGCCAATCATTGGAAATCGCATGAACGTGCGGATTAGATGCTCCTGGAAAACAACCAATCAACGGCTAACAGACGCAAGTATTTCGCTTGCCATTTCGTGTCTCACTCGGTTTCAACATACTAAAGCGCATCATCGCGTTTCCTCAAAAGCGACAACGCATACTGGGTAGAAAATCGAATCCTCGCCATGCTTCCAATGTCGCAGCAACCGTTATCGGGAAGTAACCCGGGTTCGGTGAAACTAGATTCGAGAAAAACTATACCAAATTCCGTTCAACACAACAGTAATATCAGGAAAGCAGCATGTAGTGCATGGCCAACAGCTCAAGACCGGCTCTCAACGATGCCCTCTCACTCATCTTCGTCCACATCCATGTCGTGCCCAGGCATATCCTGTGTGTCCCCTTCCTCAGTAGCCTCATCAGTTTTTTCATCAGGAACGGCTTCACTCCCAGATCTCGGCATAACCCGCTCGAATCTCTCCCTAACATTTTCGAGAGAATCCTTGTGGCGAGCGATAACTTCGTTCTGCATCTAAACACCACCAGAGAGATTAGCGAGAGGAAAAAGGCCAGGTCGAACCTCCGGGAAGGTCTTGAGCTCATCCATCCAAGCCTTCCCTTGAGCCTGAGCAGAAGAATGGATGTCAGGGAACTTATGTTTTTGAGATTATAACTATGGACTTCAGAATGCTTGTAAAACGTCGTCAATCGAGCCATATTGATTTCGCTGACCTTCGAACTCTCAAAATCAGAGAGAGGAAACATCAGCCACGGTTTGGTGATTCACACAGGAATCCGCTCCCTCGGCTGAGCCTATTTACCACACTTATTCAAACAAACCTCGGCCGCATTCTAAGACGCCTATAACTGGCCAGTGAGTTACTATGATCTGCTCCGTCACAGCATTGAGTACGTTCAATTGCTTTTCAATCTGCAGTTCATATCTGAAGCCATCTTCTCTCGCTACAACAATACCTATCCGTTTCTCACGAGCGTAATATTCCCAAAAAGCCGAGCCGCATGTAGGCCCGGTTAATGAAGCTGCCTGCTAGTGACAGCAAATTCGACTGTCTTTCCCCGGCCTCTGCTTCGTCATCGAGCATCCTCAAACTCAAAGGGTCACTGCGGGGAGACACAACATCTAGGGCGCGTGAACGATCAGCTCTCCAAGTATACCTCGCAGGCTTCTTCTCAATAGGCTGATCGTTGGCTTTACTCTTCCTATCATCTTCAGGGAGCTCATTATCCTCTTTACTCGGTGTTCCCTTCACTGGCTCCTTCGGTGTTTCTTCTACTGAATCCTCGTGCTCATCATCATCTACGTCATTTTTCTCATCAAAGTAGACATGATCACCATCCTCATGGCCCGCGCCCAATACCTCTGTACCTCCTAATCCGCTTGTCTCCTTAGCTGAATACCTGATTACGCACTCACCTTGTGAAAGTCCGACTGGCCTTACACTCCGATACAATGGAAAACACACACTATAAACGCGAAGTGCAGATGCATATTATCAAGGACCGAAACAAATTGCTAAAAGTAAAACCGGAAAAAACGCGTGACTAGGGGTCGCGCGGTGACACGTCTCAATGGCGGAGGAAACAGAAAGAAGATGAAGAGAAGAACTACCACTATACGCGAGGCAATGTAATGAGTCATTCAGGCCTTTGATACGTTTTTGAACAACACCCGCACAGCTATAGAGGCCCCTCTAGCAGTAGTCAGCCCCTGTAGTAGTAGTAGTAGTAGTAGTAGTAGTAGTAGTAGTAGTAGTAGTAGTAGGAGTAGTAGTAGTAGTAGTAGTAGTAGTAGTAGTAGTAGTAGTAGTAGTAGTAGTAGTAGTAGGAGTAGTAGTAGTAGTAGTAGTAGTAGTAATAGTAGTAGCACTACTACTATGGACATACTGTGCACATGTCCATACTACTAGTATGGACATGTGCACAGTTCAAGCACTCAAGCGAGGCGATATGGATGGGCAATAGCCTTTCTATGTCACTGCCTGGTTTAACCATGATATTTGACGAGGCAATCACCTCTCACGTGATGGGAGCAGGAGCCTGCGTCAAAAGAGATAATTTGACTTTAGGAGCTCTCGAACTGACCGACCCTAATCGTCCGATTCACCTGGGCACTCAATACCATCTTTCGTGCAAGTTTGAGCAAGGAACAGGCAAGAATGATAATGTTGCACGCAAGTTCAAGTGTCAAAAGCGTCAGCATCAAGATTGTCAATGTGAACCAAAATTCAAAAAGGGCGCTTTGCCATCGTCATCCGGAAAGGGCGTATAAACTACATTCTCAGGTGGTAGTAAGTTACTACACCTTTTAAAGGCCTATTCCGCGTTTAGTAAGATCAACTTCGCCGAGCGAGTCATCATCCGAGCCAAGATAGGCCTTAGTAAGATCAATTTCGCCAGCGCGCTCGATAGAAAAATCAATTTCATGTGTCATTAGTACAATCAACTTCGCGGGCTCTGTTTATTTGTTTGATTGGTTAAGGTTGATGGTCAACGTTTCACTTGTGACTCGTATAATCTACCATGTCAAACGTGTATAATTCTGTTTCCACAAAAAAAACTTCGCCGGCATGTCTGAAGTAAGTTAAATTTCGAGAAAAGGCGGAAATCGATTTCGCTGATTGTATATTCAGTTCCTCTCGACGACAGATTTTCGGTCCCTTCAATAGCGGCATCCGCGAACTCTGCACCATGAGATATAGGAATCCAGATGTATTGAGAATTCCATCACATTGAGCAAACATATGTGACGCTCTTTACTCAAACGCAACTTGGCAATCACAAGACTACTTAGCGATGAATGACGCGAGCGACGACGATTATGTATGCGTCCGATATTGATGACTGTTGCTATCAGATGTATCATGGGATACTGCGTATCCGGCACGCTAATTAACCGTTTGATTTGATTTGTGACGCTCTTTCCCTTTGATACCAGTCGATTCCTGCGGACACGGGATCGTTGGAAGCGGCAGAGAAGCACCAACAACAAATCCTTGAGTGAATTCGCTCTGCACGCACTGTTTCATTCTGTCTGATGATCATCATTATCGGGATCATGCATCTGCATGGCCCGTATTGTTGGAAGCGATTGATGTGTGAAGGTCACGAAATCTTCACAAATCAACCGGATCGGTAGGGTCGGGTGAGAAGTTCCCAACCAGGTAGTTTACTGTATTGTAAGTTGCAATACAGTAAACTTTCTGGTTGTTCTCACACTGTTACAATTTGTAACAGTGTGCGCCGGAGCATGCTTTTACGCCAAAGGATCCTGTTCAAGTCAATTTACTCTGAACGCACATGCACGTATACTAAACGCACGTATATGCGCGTCGTTGGTTAAACTAAACTCCTAAACCTTCAAAATTTGAATAATTAAATTATATTCATTTCTTTCTCGTTTCTTTTCAAAAAATTTTGAAGGAAATAATGAAAAAGAAATCAACAAATTCTTTTAGAAAAAGAAAGAACTCTGCTTCGAATAAATAGGGAATTACATCAACCTCTTCGGCATTTCAGCAACCCAGGACTTAAATGTTAACGAAAAAACAGAAAAAATTAACAACATGGGTAAAATGTTAATCTCGAAAAGCGAAACCAATTGCCCGCAAGTGCGCGGGCGACATTTTCGCATTCAACTACATTTCGACAATTCTTTGGTTGACAAGAAGCATTCTGTCTCCGAAAGTAGCGCTCGCCCACAACAGACCACTTGCTGGATATGTCGGTATCCCCATCAGCCGAGGGGAGTGCCAAGCCCGAACTGGTACGGCTACCATCAGGAGCTTTTATATCGGGACAAGATGATGACGAGTTGGATGATACCGAATCGCTGACTTCCACTGAAAGGAACTTCACTACAACGCCAAGTGAGGGGTCCTTTTTTCTAATGGGAAAAGTTGGGCGAGTTTACATCTAGGTTCATCGAGTCCATTTAAACGGTTCGCTCGGTTAGCGATGACGCCGACTACGCGGGTTATAATGAATGTAGCGAGAGTTCAGCGACGAGAGGCTCAGCTGAGGATGAGAGCTCCTAAGAGGATGGCCTTATTGATCATGCTGGTGATAAGGCCCGTTTTACGTGAAGTGATATAAAATGAATTGAAAACACTGGACAAATCCAGTGTGGGAAGATATGTACATGGTCAGCTACATATGTCGGTGACAATATGAAAAATTTGAGGAAATTTCGAGAGACTGTTGTTGATTTTCGGAACACTCCTACCCAAATTTGTGTATATATCTCCATTATTAGTGAGGATACTCCTGAGCTCAGCTGAGGCAAACGAGCATATATTCCAACACTGGACAAATCACTCCATATCACAGCTAATGTGAAATCTGCGTTTCACTAGTGTTTTTCATAACACGGGTGAAACTCCATTATGAAAACACCAACAAGCCGTAGCTTTCAGGTGGCCCATGTACTACTACTCATTCCAGTCGTGTTACTGCCGCTCATGGAGATGGGTGAATCGTTCTATCTGTCCGACGTATTAGAAGGGTTCAAACGTGGGGAGTCTATGGTCCACCTAGCGGGCATGCTTGGGGATATAGGCTCGATAGGTAGTAACATGAGAGTAGTGCTGCGCAGGTGACAATAAGAAAAATTTGGGAAATTTTTGGGAAATTTTTGCGGGTTTTTTTACACTTCTACCTCAAGTTGAGCATTCAAATTCTTGTAATTTGTGAGGAAACTTCCGAGCTCAGCTGAGGAAAGCGAACATGTATCCCAACACGTGCAGGAGAGGTTTTTGGAGGGAGGTGAATGATGTTTTGTCAGGTTTGATTGTTGGTCGGATGCTATTATGGACGTTCGGAATGTGGTTTGGCCACCAGAGATGGCTTGCTTTTGTAGGCTCTTCGTCCTCCTCGTCTCGAAAGTTCCCTTCATTTCCTGGTTGTCTCAGAAGTTTGAGTGATTAGGGATTAACGCAGTGTACAGGACCTTGTGAAAACTTATTCAACATAATAAGTGATTGTATAAAGGCCCCTAGCGCTAAGATTCGTGCAGGGCTAGTAAATGTCATCTGTGTGTAAGTAGAAGACGAAAAAACACGATTCGCAACAACTCCATTTGCACGAAAATGGATGACAATCATTATGCTCATCGTATGCTCTTGTAGATGAATATATAGGGCAACAGCCTTTTTATGACGATAAATCAGCATTCACGGAATCTCACGGTTACTGGCGGGGTCGGCTGTGATGATTATGATCGGGATAGTTACTTGTCCCGGTTTTAGGCACGTGACCTCTCGCCTTGGGTTTGCATACCTATTGTCGCGTTGTCATCAGCTGCGACTATACTCCCTGGGAAGATTACGCTTAGTTATGGTTATCAGTGTTTGACCTTGTAAGACTACTGACTGCTATTAGTGAGTTGTCTTGTACAGTGTGGGAAAATATGCAGATTGTCTGCGTATGTTGGTGACAATATGAAAATTCTGAGGAAATTTCGGGAAATTCTTATTAGTTTCTGAACACTTGTACCCGAATTCGTATGTAAACTTTGATAGTTGCCGAGTATAAAACTCCTGAGCCTAGGTGAGGAAAGTGAACATTGGTCTTGTGTAGATTCTGTGTACTGTCAACAGTTGCGAGTGTGCTCAGCTGTCCACCTTCTCCGGGGTTTTCTCACAGTACATTGGGCCCTCGAAAGGTAGTATGTTCCGCTGGGTATTTCAACATAGTGTAAAATTTAGAAACCTATAATGCTACTGATTTTGAATTTTCCACGTATGGCTAGCAACACATTGTTCAATCAGTTTCCGATGTAAATGTCATCATATTAGGAACGTCATTTTCCCCACTGTCATCAAACTCGGGGGGATGCTATTTCTCAGAGCTGGATGGATCCCTTATGGTGCTGTCTCAGTCCTCGCGAATATTCTTTTGTTTTTTCACAACAATTCTGGCCGTGGCATTAGCGGAGCTGATGTCCACAAATGTTATTTGTGTTTCGAGGGGAAAGGTAGTTCGTATGAGTCTGTACTTTTATAAGACGATTCTTCAGACGATTCCCGATTTGCGAGGAATGGAGTCTCGGGTAACGTGTTTTACATTATTTGAGTTAGTTTCCTCGGACCGTATGGCCTGGGGCGGTTGGCTGAGTATTTCCCGTCTAGGAGTAGTTTGGACGACTTTCTCAGAACTTACTATTTGGGTGGTAGGTCGGGTACAGTCCAGTGGGTCGTTCTGCTTTTTGTGTGGGGGGGGAGGGGGGAAATATGCACATGATCATCCACATATGTTGATCCTATACACTTTCACCGAATTCGCATGTAAACTTCAAAAATTAGCGAGGAAACGCCGGATCTCAGCTGAGGAAAGCGAACAACATATATTCCTACAACAGTGGTTGTGCTGAAGTCAGCGTTTTAGTCGGTAGCTGGATGGCCTCCACTGCGGCCTAGGGTGCGTCGGGCTTTATTGATGCTCCGTTATGGGGTTATCTTTGAGCCCATGGTGGTCCTGCTAGTGCTTATACGGGCAGCATCTGGGGAGGCTGACCACCACGTCGCTGTCGAATCGTAGGTGCCTGCTTGTGTGATTCTGAGTATCCGCATAATTTGTAGGTCTGTTCTACTCGGACTGGTTGCTATCGCTGTGTTACTGCAAGTGGTGCGATGGTGTGGAATGAGGTACTTGAAGGATTATACTAATCAGCTGTCTCCATCCCGAAATGGACAGCCTTTCGATTTCGAGGTGAGAGAAAACGTCAGTCGTTATTTACGTAGTATTTGAATTCTTATGTGATTATGATTCTGGTAATGATCGTGACGAATACTGTAGAACAACACAATGAATCAAATAATAAAAGAATTAATAAAAGTGTGAAGAATGAAATTATAAGATAATGGAATAATAAGAGAATGAATAGAAGATTAGATGAATGAAAAAGTGAATAAAAGAAATGACAGTATTATTATCATTGACTCCCTCAAAATCTGGAGTTCAGCGGATGCTGTGATTTAGATTGGATTCGATGCTCCTGATGGTGCGGATGGTTGGACGATGACTGAAGAAGTGGACGAGTTTGCTCTCCCTCCTGCTGATATGCAGGAAGTACTTGCTTGCCATGCTGCGCAGGTGAACTAAGATCCGGTGTCTGCAGCTTCCATCCTTTTTGCATTAGGGAAGGACTGCCGCGGGGTTGGAGGCCCCTGGTCGACCAAGTACTCCCGCTGAGTAACTGACTATACTTATGCTTACAGCAGTGTTATGGTGTTATACTTGTGCCTGTGTTTCGAGCGACTTGTTGATCAACTAACGATCCTTCATCTCTTGTTAAACTCTGGGTGCGTATCAGTAGTTGTAATGCTTCCGCTGCTGTTTGGATGTGCACTTTCGTTTTATCGTTCTATCATGTACCGGAGTGTGAAATCCATTATTAAATTTGATGTGGACAGTCGTGTTGTGTGATAACACCGGGCTATGATTCTGTGTGCGGTAGGCTGAGTGGCATGAGCGTTCACAATGGTCGTCCGTCAGAACCGCGGTTGACATCGTTAAAGGAGGGTGGTGACTCGCCTAGTGGGTTCGAGATGAAGCGGCATGGTCCGGGGACATTGCAGTCGAGTAATCTTCCCGATGTTTCATTGACGAGTAATATGCAAGGAAACAACGATTACAATAAAACCGATGAAAATTCGGAAAAACTGCACCCGCCGGGAGTCGAACCCGGGACACAAGCATGGGAAGCTTGTATGATACCGTTACACTACGGGTGCTGTTGAAATATTGTGTCTGTCGAAACACGTGTTATATTATAAAGCATTTAGAATGTATAAAGTCATTGATTTCAGGCTTCTCATACGTAGCTCGGCCTTGCTATGGTGATGTTAAGATTTGGTGTCGCGGCTGGCTCATAACGGGGTAATAACCACCCAGTAGTTTATCGCAGGACTCGTCCGTAGACGCTGTTGTGACTGTTGATTCCTCAGGCCAGATTGGTATCAAGGTTACGGTACTTTACTCGCCATTGTTATACCGGCCGTATTGGGAGATATATTTGTAGCCCCGGTGAGTAGTCGAAGCTCTTCTCTCGATGCTCGTTATGTTCCGTCTCAGGCGTTCGGGTGGGGGAATGGTGTGCCGTTTGTCATACTACAAATTGTGACTCTATGTTTGCTAATGATTACAATATACTCTGACCCTGGTATTATACCACGACTTGAGCATCACGCGGAATACTACGACTCTGTGATAGACGAGGTAGCAATACGCCTATGGATGTTCATTACGATAGAATTTTTTTGTAGCATCGGACGAGACCACCGCCACGGTTTCAGGACTGCACTGTGAGCTGTCACCCATTTCGACTAAAGTGCCACCGCACCCGTATTTCATCTTTTCTCAAGTGATCGTTGGCAGATACTGCACGACTTGTCACATTTATCGTCCTCCTAGGACGACTCATTGTTCAGTGTGTAACGTTTGTATACAGCGTTTTGATCATCACTGTCCCTGGGTGGGAAACTGCATCGCCGACGGCAACTATGGGTGAGTTGAAGACACTGCTCTCTTCATTTGCTTGGTTTCTTACTCGGAAAGACTGTTGGCATTATCGCGAACTCATGGGGTGCTTCTGTGAGGAATAGTGATTCAATGTGTCACTGGTCTACTGTTTTTGTGATGAATTAGTGTTGCCTGCAGTCGACCTTTACGGTTCACGTTCGAATCAACTGTGTCATGTGTTTTCTTCTTTAGAGTCTTCTACGTTTTCTTACTTTGCACTACAGTTCTGACATTATGGGCGTTAGCCCTCACGATAGTGCAGTACGTAGATCTCTCCGCAGAGAATGACCAAGGCTTTGGAAGTAGCTCACATCCAAGCAACCCTTCCGAGCACTATCCTGAGTCACCTTTCAGATGCGATAGCTGAGTCTCCGGTTACACTGATAATCCTCATTTACTGCGGTCTCTTCATGTGGTTTGTCCTTGGCCTCACTGGCTACCACACTTACCTACTCCTTACAGCACAAACAACGTATGAGCAAATCAAAGGTGTATACTCCTCGGAACATGGCTGTATTGACAACCCCTATTACCGAGGCTCAGCAGGGAATGTAAAACATAGTATATTCAAGTGGCGGCGTCGGAGAGGTTCCAAATTCGACAGAAGGTCGGGCACTGTGGTAGGTGCTCTGTGCTCGTGGTCTGTTCGAAAGAGCCTCTGCAGATCCCCCCGAGAAATCTCCCTCGAATCGGCTCTCTGAAGCCGCGTACACGACGTTGGTCTTCTAACTTCAGAGGGGATGGGAAACCTCTGCTGCCTGATACATCGCGGCATCGAGTTACAGGAAGTGGCGGAGGCGTGGTATGTCTTGGGTCGTTTCCCGATATAATGTTCCTTTTTTTCAGAGTAGCGTTGAGAGCGTGGATAACAGCGCCGCCCGTGCTGCCATACCACACCTAGGCGAAGATGATTCCGAATGGGGTTATCAGATACCGCCTGGTGATGGCCTTGTGAGTCCATCCGACGTGAACATTGACCTAACCGAGCAAATGTCCTCGAAGATTAACTCCCTCGCTTCTGTGTCACTACCAACAAACCGGACTATCACCGCTCTATAGGTGTATTTGTGACGCTGAGTATCTGAGGACAGTTGAAGGACGAGACTTTTTGATAGTCTTCTGAGGTTTGAAAACTAGCGCTAATATTTGATGATATCAACCTGAGTTGATTTGAGTTCATCACTGGAGCAGGGACGAACTTAGTATTCGTTTTGGATGGTCGTGCTTGACCGATTCGCACCTATCCACGATGCTGTGGGGTTGAAGTACTCTTTCAACGGCCTTCTGCTACTCACACAGACACATGGTCCCGTCTTCGCGTGGCCTCTGTCACTGAATTAGGAAGAGTCTTTGATTCGTTCATGTGAATAATGAGACATCATAGACAGCGAGACATTCCCTTTCTTTAGTAGAGACTTATGCTATCTAGCTTTGTAGCCTAAAGAGGTCCAGTGTATTGGCCTTGATATGAAGGCTCTGCAGCTGTGAGTTGGTTTACCGTTTTTACCATCAGAAATCCAACGCTCAGCTCTGTGGAGTGTTTGTATTACGAAAGTGATACCAAAGTATGAAGTTTGCAACCCCGTATTTCCCTTGATGAGACACGGAATATAGAAAAGGCGAGGCATGCAGCTGTTGCTGTTTAGGGGCCAGTCTTCATGAGTGTGTTATTGTTATGAAGTCGATATAGTGTATGCGTAACAGTGTTGAGTTCAACTCCGTTGAACTGTTGTTAACCACACTAGAGAATAGATATGTTTGTGCTTTCTATTGTTTTATGGGTAGACTGTTTACCGCGGCATTAGACGAACCTGAGGAGGACCCTTTCGGGCCATACTCAACTGATAACAGTTTCCTACGTACCTTGGGCTCAATCTATCGGTGTGCTAATTGTCACACCCATCTTGCCCGTAGGAGCCACTTGCTGAGTAAGGTCTTCCTGCTTGGTCGTGATGGAATATTATCACTGTACTTCAGTGTAGCGAAGTGTACAATGAGAAAGAGCGATGTGTTCATTTGAGGTTTTTACTCAACTCATTCGCGTATACGGCCTCAGTGATCGGCCGGGCTTGTTTAACACTAACAATGGATGCAATGACAATTTGTTATCGCATCCACTTTCAGTATTGTGTTGTTGTCAACAAATGTTGTCTTGTGGTCGAAGTGGCAAGATATGCACATGGTCAACCACATGTGTTGGTGACAAAACTGAGGAAATTCGAGGAAGTTTTCAATGGCTTCTGTATACTCCTATCCAAGTTCGTATGTGAATTTCTCTAATTATTGAGCAAACTCCAAAGTTCAAAGCTGAGGAAAGCGAGCATATATTCCAACACTGCTTGTGATTCCAGATATAGTCTCAATCGACTTTTAATATATCGTCCGCTCAGGTTCGAACTTCCGTGGGCGAACGGGCGCGGCTCTGCTGCTGGAGTCTCTGGTTAATGTTGTTCTCGGTCCACAGGAAGACACTATTATGACTACTGGAATGCACTCCATAAGGTCAGTCGTGGGTTCGATTCCTGGTTGCTCCCCCTGCTTGCAGTGTTGGAGAAATATATGTTCGCTTTCCTCAGCTGAGCTCAGGAGTTCACACAGTTCGAGTTGAAGTGTTGAGTAATCAATAAGAATTCCCCCAGTGTTTTCGTATTCTCTCCAGCACACGTAGTTGACCATATGCGTATTTCCTCACAGAGTGTGTTTCTGCATCAAGTGCCTTGAGAATATCGGGTGGACGTATGAGGAAGCCTTTGAGGACGATCAGAAATACAAAGAGCATCGGTACGGCTAACGCTCACGTGATTCACCTCACTGGCCGACCCGAAAGGTTCATTCTTGAGGAGCGCCTGGTGGACCTCTGGACCCCATCCGAAGGAGCTACGGCGAGATCGACTACTGATATCGGAAGACCAGCAGCATCATTATCGTCAACATCGTCCTCGTCCTCGAGTTGAGTCCGTTGATGAAGCAAGTGTCGTGGTTTGCACCATTTACCCCAAAC